CGACGCCTTCTAAGGAGGGAGTGGGGGGGGGGGCTATGGCGCGCCTGAAGCGGGAAAACCTAATGTGTGAGGAGCCTCCCAGCCCGAATAAAACCCCGTCTTCTCCAGCGAGCGTTCAAAACGACCTTTCTCACCGTTGGGATCCCCTGGGTGGGAAAGGAAACTGAAAGTTCGCACTGTTTGGTTGATAGCGATAGTAATGTGGTGGGATACAAGTCATTTGCAGCTAGTTCAGATTTATATATAGCATGCTCATTCAACGATTATGGTCAGCACGATATTCCAGGACATTATTAAACTTGAGGCGATGCTGCAGTACAGGTTTGATTTTTCGTTTTTTCCTGCAGGAATGATTTGGCTAACCTCAATAGATCAATAAGAGAGAGCGCTTCGACTGATTCTCTTTTGAGAGAGGAATGTTCTAAGGACTTCCACTTTCTTAAGTGCCAGTTGTCATCTTATTCGATGGGACATGGACAATGAACGCTGACGCTCTTCGACTTAGGGGGGAAGGAATTTAGCTCTTTTCTAGTTTCTTTTGTTAGCTTTTGTTAACTTACTCGTCTGACCTTGTAAGACCTGCAAACTCTTGTCAAGTGTAAACGAAGCTCATGCTGTTGCAAAGCTTCATAGGAATGTACAGGTGTCTACAGAAGACATCGCAGTCAATAACGAGATCAGCAAAATGTCCTTTCCAAGCCGAACTGCGCAAAAACATTTTTCAAGACATTCAGGTTTAGCTCGCCCACAATGATTCGCGACCCTCTGGAACGGTCGGCTGATAAAATTATTGTTAACTGAGAGTTAGTTGCGCATACTGCAAGTGCAGATTCAAATGAAGCCTTGGTGACCGTCTGGGATATCCAGACCGTAACGCTCAGCGCTGCCTCTCGTCAGGGCCGTTCCTCTGAATTCTCGCTCTGTTCATCACTTGCTCGTCCCCACTGCACATCTTTTTATGGAGGACAACGCTCTCTCCAGGTGACCAGGATAGGTGCTGAAAAATTGGGTGCTGACATTTTTAATGTACTAGAAACACGCCCGGTAATTAGCGGTGTAAGTCGTCTTGTAGCCTGTGAACGTTGAAGTAGTCAAAGGTCATGTGTCAATAAGTGCTTTACCTCGCATGTGCAAATGCGACCCTGGCTAGCAAATGCACAGAGGCGGATCACTCGCGAAAATTGTCTTTAATCTAACAGATGGATTGCGGTTCAGTGAAAAACTTTACGTAGCCGATAACGATCAACTACCAGAAAAGGAAGCAGTGCCTTGCTGCACCGCCGCTTTGAACAAGGAAAATTAAGAGGGAATGGGCCGAAATCAATCCCAATGCTTACTGAGAATGCCATTCTTCCTAAAGACTATTCGATAAAGGAGGGGCCAAGCAGTTACATCAGAAAAGGGATTGTCGTCGACAATAAAGAGGATTATTAAAAACGCTTTTTTGGTTTATACAAGGGAATCTTGAATTGGTGTTTAGTTCACTTGATTTCGGCTTCACGCCTTTTATTTTCGATATTTTACGAATCAGCGTTTTCAGCAAATGCGAAGCCATCATCACGTCTAGTTCCCTTATCGTCATTAAAGCCAGATGAGCTAGGGCACTCGATTCTGTTCTGTAAGCAGACGCTTCCTCCAGGATCGCCACGAACTCCTCATGACATGGTAGCCAGTGGGGTGT